GGGCGGCGGGCGAAGGCGCCGCGGGGCGCGGGGTTATGTAATGGTCCCCCCTAGGCGTCGACGCCGGCCCGGCTCCGGCCGCGGTGGGGGTGTGTGCGGGCGGGAGGGGGCTGGGGGTCGCCTCAGCCTGTGCGCCCCGGGCCCCCGGCCACTGTCTCGGCCCTGCCGCCTCTCTCCGGCCCGGCTGCTCTCAGTACTCCCACACTCCCGCGGCTCGCACTCAGCCTGGCGTCCCGCTTTCCCACTCTCGCCCGCTCCCTCTCGCCCTCTCTCCCCCCCGAGCCTAGCACACAAACAAGATGGCGGCTGTTGTTTCTTCCCCTCTGCCGAATCCTCCTTACAGGCTAGCGGTAGCAGCGGCGGGCCGGAAATGAGCCAAGGGGGGGGCGGGGGTGAAAAAAGGGGCGGGGCGGGGCCCGGGAAGGAGGCGGCGGGAGGCGGGGCCAGGGCCCCAGCGGCTCACAATGGGGGAAGAGGAGCCGGGGGCGGGGCTACTTTCCATCACGGGACCCGCCCAGGGGCTCAACGCGCTAGGCGCTTCCGCAAACTCCCCCGGCGTCACCCGGTGGCTCCCTTTAAAGGGGAGGATTTTGAGTGGAGGGCGGGGGTAGTTAGAGGGCGGACTCGGAGTCTATTTTCAGTCGGTGGATAGTTACGGGGGAAGGTGCCTGGGTTGGGTCTGTGCGTAGGAACGGTGGGAACCGGGAGTGACGGAGCCCAGGAACTACGCCTGGGAAGGCGCCAAGTCACCGTACAGGTGGCTGAGTAGGAGCGCTCGTGGGGGCAGTCCTACGCTTTGGGCCCTGGGCCCTTGTGCGGCCAGGAGGGCGTACCCGGGAGAATCCACCAGGCACAGGGATACTCCGCGCCGGGTGTTCAGGCCAAAGACCCAGAGCGTCCCCACTGTGCTCCATAGTCTTCCCGAAGGGAACAGTTCGCATCCAAAACCACGCTGATGCCGAGCCCTTATCATTTAACTCCATATTCTCTTCGAAGCCCTGTCTCTTACTGAATTAGTTTTACAGTGAGCATTATTTATAGTCAGAAAATCAAAATCACAAGAGTGGGACCATGTTTTAAAACCCGACACAAATTTCCTGCCCACCACGTGTCCTCATGCCGCTACCAGGTAGCACTGTCAGGGAGTCTGGAATTCTTCTGAGTTCACCTGGGACCTGAGGATATTTTTGAGTATTTCTTTTCACCCACTCCCAATGGACTCGCGTAATAAAAGAGCACATTCAATTAGGCGGTGCCGTAAAGATCACGTAATTCTGGAAAACAGCAAAGACTTGATGGAAGGTAATGAATGCAAGCGGGGAGGGGGCGAAACGGGTGAATATGAGTAACACTGTGTGACCGAACGCACTTTTGCAGCGCAAGGTCTCACATTCCTGCAATGTAACGTCCCTCTGTTTGGCTTTGGAAAATAAGTGCTTGAGGAAGTGGCAAGGATTTGTAAGTTTCTAAAGGAACCCCCGCCCCTCCAAACTTGTATCTCCCGAAAGGGATAAAGGCCCTATCAAATCTTTCACATTCCATGTTCCTCACTTGATGTGCCCTTACTACTGGGCTCACTTTGTTTTTTTGTGTGTATGATTTTTGTTTTGTTTTTTTAAATAAATATGAAATTTGGTTTTTCTGTGTATGATTTTGTTAATGAATAACTGTGAAAATCAGTTAAGTACCAAGGACATGATTCTAATGAACCTGGGTTACCCCCCCCAAGTGTGGATTCCAGGATGCGGTGCCAGGCCTCAGTTACCCAAACTGCAGGGCAAAGCAGATGAATGGAAACGGATGGTGCCTCCGTCCCCCGGTGGCAACAAAAAAATAAATTTTAAAAAGAAAAGGATAGTGCCTTCTTTGTCTTAAAATGGTGTCCAGGTGGATTGAGCATTGATGGATTGATGGTCTCGGTTGACATTACTGTTTCAACAGTTTGCAATTCACATTTCTAGCGGAGATGACAGAAAAGAAATGCGGACATCTGGGAGGTTGCTCACCTGTGTTTTGAGGAGTTTCTGACCTTTGTTTGTGTTGTTAGGTGCCATTGAGTCACTTTCGATCCCAGTGAGCCGATGTACAACATTACGATGTACAACATAACGAAATGCTGCTTGGTCCTGTGCATCCTCACAATTGGTCCGATGTGTGAGCTCGTTGTTGCAGCCACTGTGTCAACCGATCTCCTTGAGGACCTTCCTCTTCGTTCTCCCTCTACTTTATCAAGCTTAATGTCCTCCTCCGGGAACTGTTCTCTCCTGACAACATGCCCAAAGCACATGACATGAAGTCTCCCATCCTTGTCTCTAAGGAGCATTCTGGCTGTACTTCTTCCGAGATAGATCTGTGTCCTTTTTAGCAGTCCATGTGGTACTTTCAAGATTCTTCACCAGCACCACAATTCAAATGTGTTGATTCTTCTTCTGACCTTAGGAAGGCGAGGGGATTTGCCTAGTTTTCCAAATGACCCAGCTTGAGTCGAAGTAGCATTCAAACATCTGATTGCCCTGGCCAAACTGTGGGACCGGGTACAGGAATTTATTTAAGGACATCTTAGGAAGATCACAAGAGAAAACCCTGTAAAGAGAAGGACTTAGGGTCCATGGGCCTACCCAAGAGAGAAGACCCCACTGTCAGTAGGAATTCAGGACACCTGGGGACTTTCCCTGGGATTTGATCCTCTGGCCTGAAGTCAGGCATGTTGGGAGTGGCTAGGAAAATGAGGATCCCGTAAATAATATAAAAGTGAGACTTTAGATTAAAAACAAACAAACCCAAAACTGAATCATCAGCCTGGATTACATATGTTGTTAGCTGTCATCTAGTTGGTTTTCATTTATGGCGACCCTGTGTACAACCTCACCAAACACAGTACAGGATCCTTCACCGTCCTCCCAATCCTCTCTGTGTGTGAGCCCATGATTGTAGCCTGTGTCAGTCCATCTCCTTGAGGGTTTCTCTAATCCTCCAGGAAGAACTGTCCCCTCGTGATCACATGTCGAAAGCACATGGAATGAAGTCTCACCAACCTGGCTTCTCCCAAGGCCGATCTGTTCCTTCTTCTGGCAGTCCATGGGTCAGGATCACCTTCGTCCTCAAAGTAACATGTTTGCTTTTCAACACTTTTACGAGGCCTTTGGCAGCAAATTTGACCCTTGATTTCTTAACTGATGCTTCTATGGACATTGATTGTAGATTCAAGTAAAATGAAATCCTTGACTACTTCAATGTTTCCTCTATTTACCGTGATGATGCTTACTGGGCCAGTCGTAAGGATTTTTGTTTATGTGGAGATGTAATCAATACTGAAGGCTGTGGGATTTTTTTTTTATCTGCACCGGTAAGTGCTTGGAGCTCTCTCCCTTTTCAGTAAGCATAGCTGTGTCATCTGTATATTGTTCATGAATTCTCCTCCTATGCTGATTCCACATCCTTGTTCATATATGCCCCCTTCTTGAATTATTTGTTCAGCACACAGATTGAATAGATATGGTGAAAGGATACAACCCTGACTCACTTTTTCCTGATATGAAACAATGAAGTATCTGCTTGCTCTGTTCGAACGACTGCCTCCTGGTCTGTGTACAGGTCCCACGTGAGCACAATGAACTGTTCTGATAGTCGTATCCTTTGCAATGCTACCTATACTTTATGATGACCCACACAATCAGTTGCCTTTGCATAATCAATAAAACAGAATGAATATCTTTCTGGAATTCTTTGCTTTTAGCCTACATCTGATATCAGCGATGATATCCCTCATTCCGTGTCCTCTTCAGAATCTGGCTAGAATTCCTGTCAGTTCCTTGTTGATTTACTGCTACAATTGTTTTTGAACTATCTTCAACAAAATTTTACTTATGTGTGATGTCAATTATACTGTTTTGTAATTCCCAACTCTGTCACATCACCTTTCTTTGGAATGGGCACATATACGGATTTCGTCCAGACACAGACCAGTAAGCACTTGCAGGATAGTATCCTTTTGTTGAAACATCTCAATTGTTATTCCATCAATTCCTGGATCCTTGGTTTTCCCCAATGCCTCTGGTGTAGCTTGGACTTCTTCCTTCAATGCCAATAGTTCCTTATCATACGCT